CTGCCGTGGTCATTACTTATGATCACAGGATTAGGAGGGTCTGACCCGTGTGGCTGTGTCCCTGCCGTGGTCATTACTTACAGTCACAGGATTAGGAGGGTCTGATCCGTGTGGCTGTGTCACTGCCATGGTCATTACTTACTATCACAGGATTAGGAGGGTCTGACCCGTGTGACTGTCCCTGCCATGGTCATTACTTACTATCATAGGATTAGGAGGTCTGACCCATGTGGCTGTGTCACTGCTGTGGTCATCACTTACGATCACAGGATTAGGAGGGTCTGACCCGTGTGGCTGTGTCCCTACCGTGGTCATTACTTACTATCAGAGGATTAGGAGGGTCTGACCCATGTGGCTGTGTCACTGCTGTGGTCATCACTTACGATCACAGGATTAGGAGGGTCTGACCCTAGGAGGGTCTGATCCGTGTGGCTGTGTCACTGCCATGGTCATTACTTACTATCACAGGATTAAGTGGAGCAGAAAGTTTTCTCCCCACCTTTTTCCAGTGTTGGAATTTAAGCACCTGTTCTCACTTAGCTTCACTTACATAACATGCCAGTGCTTGGAACGGAATAACTGACGTATTGCTAGCTAATGCAGGTTTTCTCCAATTATGAGAATTGCTCCAGTTTGGTTTTCAGATAAGAAATGCATCATATTTATTTCCAAGGACAGTTTGTGTGGCTAATTAATTTCAGCTGTCAATTAGACAGGATGAAAAATTACGGTATTAATATTCTTGTCATACTGATTCCTCACTGCCCTTTCTCTGCAGATGAAAATGGCAAATAAGTGCTGCTCTCCTTGCGACCAGGTAGGACTTGTGTTTTTAGCTTTATAATATAACAAGTATCCAAAACAGCCTCTTTTCTTTGTTTGAAATTTGATTTGGAAATTTTGGTAGGCAAGCGTTAGCACACAATCCAGACTGCACTTGGGGGCCTCTGCACCCACATTAAACCCACAGAAGTGTTCCTCCTGACCCCTGTGCTTGCCATATGTGGGGTAGACAATTTATCTACTGGCAGTGGGGTCAGGAGACATGACCTGAACAGTGAGCTGGCTGTGACTGTCTTAGCTGAGGGGGGTTATGAGGAAGACACACCTGCATGCTGTGAAATCGCAAACATTTTCTTTCTCAAGCATTTCTGAGTCGTTTTTCTTGGAGGAAAGCTTTACTTGGGAAGCTTCATTTTTATGAGGCCTTTGACCCAACAGAGGTTATTGCAGCTTGATGGGACCCTGCCACCCCCAAATCCAGGCAGGATGTTCACTGGTGGCCAGTGCTGCCTGGTCCTGTGCTCAGAAGGAAGGATCTCCCTGTCCATCATCTCAGCTGGTGACATAGCTGGTCTTTGGCCCCAGGGCACTCACATCCCATGTCCACTTAGAGCTGTCTGTGATGCTTAGACTATTCAAGTGTCAGGCAAATAAACATTCAGGCCATCATATTATGCTGCTTCTGTTTGCTTTTTAATAACGTTAAAGTTGAAGCTGCAATGTAAGTACAGACTTTTTATTTACCATTAATTGGTTTTCTAGTCATTTATTTTATAGGTTTAAGGAAGCACGCATCGTATCCTTGAGAGAATTGAGGACAATGTGTTTAGTTTGCTTTAAATACTGCTTGTAAGTACTCTTTAAAGAGTGCTCAGAAACAATCTTTGAATTCAAGACAGAAGACATTCAGAAGAGTAGGTCCCTGCCAATCAAATGTTTACTGAAAAAGACAGGAAATTAGGCTGTTTTTAAATTAAACTCCTCTAGTCAACATTTTAAAATTAGAATAGAAACATTAAGAATAGTTCTTCTAAATAGGAATTTATTTTTTTTAATTTTTCTAAATTTAACATCAACTATTTCTGTTTTACACTTAGCTAAATGAGCAATTAGTTCTTTTGTGAGTGATATTTCCATAAATGTGTTTAAATTAATATAGGACACAGCTTATATTTTTATACTTAAAATATCATTTCATTACATATTTTCTACATAAAATGTTACTTTCCTGCTATGCTCTGTGCTCTTGAAGCCTCTCCATTATGTGCCCAAACATGTAATTTTCTTTTGTTTATTTATCAAGGCCGACACCACAACAGACCAAATTGATGGCTGTTGTCTCCTTGAATAATTCAGCATTTTGAAATTGGATTTTTATTAGCACAATGTCTCATGAGATTGTTCTTGTGGCCGATCAGGCTCTTCTAAGACGTCAGGAGGCACCTGGGTGTTTGTTGCTGTTTCTCAGTTTGCCCCCAGGGGGCCAGCTTCTCCTGCCCACCTGGTGTGACCCTGCAAACAGATGGTGCCCATTAGATAGTGATGTGTTTATAGGCCTCAAGCTTTTTGGTTTTTCAAAGAACACTTGGGTTGTCAGTCGGAGAGAGGAGGGCTCTGGCGGTCAAGGCGTGTCTGGGTTTGCTTAGAAACTTACTGGGGCTTCTTGTCACCAGAAAGTGAAGGGATAGGGCCCAGAGCAACACGGGCTCTCCACAGAGTTCAGCTCCTCCAAGACCCCAGGCAGTGGTGAGCCTCGTGAGATTCTATTGCCTATTATACTCAGTTTGTGTGACGTCAGTCTTGAAGGCTTTGTATGACAAGAACACCTGGGCTATAATCACAGCAAAGCCCTTATCTGGCGTTTTGATTTTAAAACTCCCCACCTGAGCCTGAGCTTTTCGATCTAAGGTCTCTATTTACCTCAGAATTTCTACACAACTTTGGATTTACTCCAGGGCTTGAATTCATACTTTTGAAAAGAAATATTAGTGTTGAACTTCACTCTGGAGGAAGAATAAAGAGCAATCCCTGTGGTGACCTAATGTGTTTTTGGTAGAGGATTATTTCTCATTTATCCCAAACTGCATACTTTATAAGGATTTTAGTTTCGACTTATGACATTGGGCCCTTTAAAAACAGAAAATTCTTTTTCTCACTCTTAACAATGAAGTCTTGCTTTGGGTATGTAAGGAAGAACTAATATGTAAATAAATGAGAAAAGAAGGTGTTTGACAACTGCTGAAACTGGCAAACAGAAATAAGAAGGACCAGAGAGTGACACAGAAGGCTCAGCCGACAGACTCTCTACCCTGTAGGGACCATAACTGGAGCACATTGTCTGGGACAAAGACCCACTGAGCGTGACCGCAGGACGACAGGGGTGGTCTGGAATTGTCCCAGGCAAAGCAGGACGTGTGCTCATCCTGCTACAACAGCAAGTGTCTCTGGGTGTTTCCGTGCTAAATTTCTTCTCAAATAACCCAAATTTTAATTTAGGGAGATATTGATGTTTTAATAACCAAATCAAAAGAGAAAACCTTAAATAACACAGGCAATTCTTGCTTTTTCTGGATATGGGAAAAGACCGGGTGTCTATCTATCATCTGATGGACACTGTACTGATTATCTTGACTGATTCAGAAGAAAAGAAAATTAATTGCCTACAGAAATGGCATCAGAAAAATAAATGAAAGTATCTGTCTTTATCAAAATGATTATGTTCTCTTCATTTAATTCTGGGGATGCAATCAGGAAGGTGTTCCTAAGAGTGGATTTTCACTTTTAGAGCATGTAATAAGCCATTAGAAAATTCATAATGTAAAAGATAAAATTAGCTTCCTTTAAAATTATTTATGACCTGGGTACGTCTAAAAGGAATTCCTAAAGCAGCCAGTATTTCCTTCCACCATAGCAAAGCTATAACGCGTGTCTTTGCTAATTGCCCTAGGTAGAATTCAATTATATATGGGGTTTAATTAAGTTCACCTCCAGCTGACAGCTAGTTTGGATTATTAACAACCTGTATTATTGCCATTTGGGGCAGTGAAGTAGGTCTTATTCACTCTTCCATGTGTAATTCTTGCTGAACCAAATGGCATGCACTGTGCTGACCAGAAAGAAAAATGGCAGACAGAACGCTTTGCCAGCCCGGAGGACAGGCAGCCAGAGTGGAGGGGAGAGGCGGACCCTGGGTGCTCAGGGTGCTGGGTGCCTGGCCTCACTCTGCCCCTCATCCCCCTGCAGCGCCTCTGCTCCCGACCAGCAGGCTCACACGTGCTGAGCTGAAGTTAGGCCCCTAAGATCTGCTGAAGGGGCACTTGCTGCCATGCCAGAGGAAGAATCCGTGCTTGCCCTGTGTCTGTGACTGTCACAACCCCGTCTTAAACTAAGTTCCAACATAGCAGACTTGGCAGCAAGCACACGGATTCTGTCTCCACAATCTGATGGTAATCAATGAAAGAAGGGTCTTCTGCTGAGCCCCCTGAGTACAGCAGACACACCTGCCCCTGGCACACGCAGCACTCCAACGGCTCAGAAAGGGTCTCACTTGCACCCTCATAACCACTACTGTCTGTAAACCGTCACCCAGTATTCAGTGCCTCTTAGCGGGGTTTGTTGACACGCTCTGGTGCCGAGGGAAGCTAACTAGCAAACCCAGTCAATTCCATCTGCCCAGCCTCATGGAACGGAGGTGTATTTCTTTCTGAACAAGCTATCGGCATAATATTCTTTACCTCATTGCATAAAAGTCCCCAGGTTTGACGTTCATTGCTTTTGTGTAACTGTACTTAAATCCTATCTTAAACTATATAGATTATGCAGGAGTGAGTTAGGAACTGAGTAAGCATGCCTGGGATTCAAGTTTATTTTAGAAATCTCAAGCATCTGCTAAATTAGCTATAAGATGCATTGTTTTAAAAAATGGAACTTGAGCCATCTTATGCTTTATGTCAGTATTAATGACAGTATTATAACCAATAAAAATACATCTACATAAACTAACCAGACAAACAGAGAAAGTCTATCAATTAGATGTTTTTAACATAATCTGTATATTTGAAACCATATTAGTGCAGAAGACATTCAAGGAAGTTCTATTTTAGTGGTTTTGTGGGGTGCTGGTGCCTTCTGATCAATGTGTAGCTTGCCCTCTGCTTGCTAGCCCTGGGGGGGCTCCCTATGGTCCTCTATTAAGTTCTCACCTTACTATGCAAGATAGGTAATGAAAGAAGTCCCATTATGTGATGAAAAAGGAGGCTCAGCAGTGTCAAATGTGTCCAGTATCACATCCAAAATAAAATTACCATGTGTTATTATAATATTAACATCATATCACATTGATACCATTCTTAAGGCTTCATAGGACCCAAGGTAAACCCATTAAGAACTTACAAGTTCATTAACCAGTCAAATATTTGGGTTTCTTTAAAAGTCTCTATATATGTAGAACAGCCTGGTAAGACCTAATTACAACCTTGAATGTGTCAGATAGTTTTTAGCCAACTCTCAAAATCATGGTTGTACCAACGTCCCACCCTGGTGACCACACTCTGCAAAACAGCCTTCCCTGAAGTTCTCTTTCCCACCACTAGAAACACCACAGACATCTGGTAGTTTCATCCAGCTTGTTCACCTGCTGGGAAGTCTATCGTCAGGCATAAGAGTGAGGACTGCTGGTGGTTTGTCAAGTACAAAGTTGAGTCAGGAGATGCCCCACTTGCACCCGTGCTGCTGGGGTCAGAGGGCTCTGGCATCTCCCGCCAAGGGCACAGAGCAGGTGTGTGAGAATGTCCTGGGCGTGGCTGGTCCCACCCTGAAATAGCTCATGGGTCAGTGTCATTTGAGAGAGTGGCTGGGATGAGACCACATGAGACCTTATTTTTAATTCTGTTTTAATTTTATATTGTTTTAAATTTTTACTGCACAAGAACATGTTGATTAATTGGTTTTCCTTACAATAGAAAAATGATGAGAAAATTCCAGTGAAATTGCTCCTACTACTTACTCTAAAGTATATGTTACATTAGAATTTTAAGTTAAGGATTTTTTCTTCAATATTAGTTTGTATTCATGTATTGAATTCTTAAATTATATTACTATTTTTATGTATTGGAATTATATTCAGATTGTTAAAGTTTGCATTTTATTTCATGAGATAAAAATATTTCATACTAGTTGTAAGACTCTTTCTGTATTTTCATTGTTGTTAGGAAGTTGAACTGTAAAGAAAAACAATGCTTTTTCCACATATGCCAACTGTAGAAGTGAAAATTAAATTAATCACAGCCTTATAGAAAAATCTGAAGTACTGACCCTAATAGGATGGAATTGGTGCTGGTTTGTAAAAACTGCTTGTAGCAAGGGCGGCACCTGTGGCTCAAAGGAGTAGGTCACTGGCCCCATATGCCAGAGGTGGCGGGTTCAAACCCAGCCCGGGCCAAAAACACCTGCTTGTAGCAAACACCCCCAATGCAGCTGAGAGATCTGGCCTCCCCAGAATGGAAAGCATTTAGAAAGCAGCTTGTACGCAGAGCCTGGCCTGACTTAGAACTCTGGGTTTTTAACTCAGGACGTCAGACATTCCCACTGTGTCTACTTGATTGGAAACAACCTGGGGGTTGATCTAGGCGTCCCCACGTCTCCCCAGTCCCCTGAGCGGAGTGTGCTGTTGGGTGGGGCACAGCATGCTCCGTGTGTGAACTCTCTGCTCCTGTGTCTCTGCACCATATTAAGCTCTGGTTTTTAATTTTCAAAGGTTTCCCTCTGCAGGTTGTGCATATGGGGTGGGTAAACGAGAGACTCCAGGGAGCCGACTCCTCCCAAACCTTCAGATCCAAGTTCCTGGCCCTGAAGGGCTCGTCGGCCTACGTTTTCGGCACTCCTCCGGTAAGGAGTTCTGAGGTTTGGGGCAGGGGCTCTGGTCGGGGTCTTCCTAGGAGAGAAATAGCAGTGAAACCCGGCTTTGGAAGAGGCAGAGGCCGGTGTGCGGCCATGGCATTCTCTCCACCTGCCAGGTAGGAAAGGAGCCTGCTTGTGGATTGACTGCCTATTTCATACTCCAAATGCACAAATTAATCCATTTTTCTTCATTTAAATAGTCATTAAGATATTATAGAGTTCTCCTGCTCAGAGGGTGGGGGTGAGACAGCTCCATGTCTTAGGAGCATCAACTTTACAGCTGAAGAATCCGGAACAGTCAAAACACAGGCTCCTCTTCAGTCATTTCTAATTTAAGGAACAAGTAATGATGTTTAAAAAGCTGTTATTTCCCCCATAACTTCCAAGTTTTTATTAAACAGCCTTTTTTAGGGGGCCCAAAATATGAGTTTAATGTTGAGTACTCTAGTTCCAAGTTCCCACCCACACCATTATCCCAACACTGACCAAATGGACCGTGAGTAATCTGCCTAGAAGTTTATCAATTAAGGCAATTGTACTTTTGGGGAGTCTGACAATCAGAACCGCAAACGAACAACAAACCTCATAGCTTCAGATACCTAAAAAGTTTGGACACAAATTACATAAACTGTTGATGGAATTTTATTCCAATAAAAGTAAATAAAAGGACCCATTCAAGATAAGAATACACTGCATGTTTTCTTTTCATTGATCAGCATAGTTTTAAGTGAGCTTTCTACTTGGGAAATAATATTAGATTCACAGAAAAGTTGTGCACACTCGCAGGGAGTTTCTACGCACCCCTCGCTCAGGTCCGCACAGTGCACATCTCACACACGGGCACATCTGGTCACTGAAACATTAACCACACGCTCCACTCAAACTCTACTGGTGTTTTCACTAAATACACCTTTTCTGCCTGAAGTTGTAACGTAAAATACCACATTGCATTTAGCTGTAAGTTTTTTTAATGAAATAGCTCTATAAATTTACTGCATCTAAAGGCATCTAAGTACTTGAATAAATAATGATTGAATTATCCTCGAAACAAATGTAGCAATGTCCTTTAACATTTGCTGCTGATCTGCCCCACGTTTTGAAATTCAAGTCCTAGACATGAACATCCGAGTGGCTGAGCTGGTTCTGTTTTAGAGTAGAGCTGCAATATTTGTGTGGGTGGTCCCAGAGGCCTTGGAGACCCCAAACAGGCGGCCCAGGCCTCATCTGCCCGGCCTGCACTGGGGAAGGCGAGCAGGGCCTGGTGTCCTAGGCATTGCCATGGACGTGGTCAGCCTGCCCCAGCGTGGTGTTTGCCCTGTGGCCTTCTGTGGACCCCTGGGATCCTGAAATCCTGGCAACATCCACAAGCCAATAACTGTTAGAAAAACAGCCTGAAAAGAGCTGAGAAGGTTTCTTTATCATGACATTATTTGATTATTGTTTCAATCAAGTGAGATATGCCGAGGACACCAGGTTTACTGATAAGTGTTGGATTTGGGGTCGGAGCCCCGCAGTGTTGCCACAGAAACTGAGTTACTGCCGAGCTTCCCATGGTGTAAACGAGAGGAGCCATGAACAGATGTTTTTATGGCAGGGACGCTCAGAGCAGCCACGTTCCCACTCGTGGTCTCTTTGGAGTCTTCTTTCACACCTGAAGGGCGTGTGTAAATAAAACTGTAAATAAATGTACTCAACTGACGGTTATTTTTGATAACTTGATTCTAAACCCTCTCCTAAGAGATTGTGGATTGTGTTAACTGTTCTTACTACCAGAATATTCTTACAAACAATTTAAAGTATCTGGGAAGGGGGGTGCACTTTCCACGTGTTCTCCCTGTGGTGGGTAACCAGCCCTTTGTTTCTGGCAGGGAAACTCCAGGCGAGCTCCTCTGGGATGTGGCTGAACTGAGCTGGGAAGGCCGTGCCTTACCCAGCACTGTGAGAGCCCCACATTGTTGCTGACTAGTGTGACTTCCCTGTCAGACCCCGAAGCCTGGGCTGCTCCCCACACCTGGGTCCTTACCCAGGTCCACCCTGAAATGTATCTCTGGGGTGCCGCCAAGGCCCACATGTTGAGTGCTGTGCTCCCAGTTATCCCCCGCACTCCCATAATTCATTTTAAATTTGCTCACTTACCTGAAAAGGCAGTTAACATGGCTGAGCGACTTCTCCCCAGGGCTCAGGTGCATACTGGGAGCCTCTGTCTGCATGTGACTCTGAGATCCTCATTCAGAGAAGCCCTAATGTTTCTGAGTCCAAGTGTTAAGCTCAGCCTCTGCGTCTTCATCCCGGTGCCCACCATGGTGATAGAATCAGCTTCCTGGTTTGAATGTCCTTCCCCTGTGTGAAATGAGGCTGGTCTGGCCCTGGCATAAAGGATTGTGCCACCTACATTGGATTGACCAGTGTGGTGTCCACACGGGAAGGAGCCGCAACCTGGGATCTGAGAGGAGAGGAGGGTACAGAGGCCCCAGGACTAGGATGAGGCTGGGGTGTGGCAGAAGTCCCCACAGGCAGATACATGTGCCGTGAAGCACAGTCACCTGTAGTTCATGACAGAACCAGACACTACAGACTCATCACCAAAACAGTGAGCTGCCAGCATGTCAGTCAGCCCACGGGGCTGGGGGGCGGAGGGGGGGGGGTGGACAACAAAAACTGTCCATCGGCAATTTAACTACTCAGTTCTCTGAAGTATGAAAATTTTGTTACTGTCAAGTAAACATGTAGTTTCACACAATGTGAATTTTTATTTCAAAATAGCATAGGGTACACATATTTTTGTTGACATGTATCAATTGGTAATGCTTGAGTCAGGGGTGTAAGTGTGCTTATCACCCAGACAGAGTTCACTATAGCCGCTAGGTGGATTCTCAGCCCTGCTCCTTCCCCTCCCCCCCCCACCGCTGGGTTTCTTCCGAGTCTCACCCCTCTGTCATGGCTGTGTAGTTTTCCGTACTACACCTAAACCACATTGTGCTAATCCACTCATGAATTCATTGGCACCTGGGCTGATTGACATCTTTGCAATTGTGAATTGTGCTGCAATAAGCCTTGGAGTGCGGGTGTACTTTTGCTAAAATAACTTCTCTTCCTCTGGGTAAGTACCCAGTGGTGGGATCGCTGGCTCTAATGGGAGGTCTGTTTTTGGTACTTTCAGGAACCTCCACACTGTTTTCCACAGAGGCTGTGCTAGTTTGCAGTCCCACCTAAGTGTCCAAGTGCTCCTTTCTCTCTCATCCATGCCAGCCATCTATTGTTTTTGGACTTTTTAATAAAAGCCCTTCTAACAGGGATAAGGTGATGCCTCATTGTGGTTTTGATTTGCAGCTCCCTGATGATCAGTAATGTTGGATGTATTTTCATATGTTTTTTGGTCATTTATCCACCTTCTTTGGGAAAGTTCCTATTTATGTCTTTTGCCCACTTTTTAATGGGGCTCTTTGGTTTTTTCTTGCTGATCTGCTTGTAGATTCTGGTTATCTATTGATATATAGCTTGTAAATATCTTTTTCCATTTTTTTAGATTGTCTATTTGCTTTGTTGATTATTTCCTTAGCTGTGCAGCAGCTTTTTAATTTAACTGTAAGGTCTATATTGATTCAATGAATAATTTTATATTTATACTTAAGTTTTCTATTTTAATTTTTAAGTTTAAATATAAAATTGCTCATTGTATCAACGTAGACCTCACCATCTACAATGCCTTTGAGTATAGCTGTGCTCACAAAGCACACATAGACACACGCATGCATACTCAGACCATGCCATGCTGGTGGGCTGGTGTAGACCAGGGAGAGTGTCCTGGGCTGGGCTGCATCTTTATAGGGTGGAGTGTGGACAGACAGCACGAGGAGAGTCATGAGCAGCCTTAGGTCTCTCCATCTTGAGTTCCAGCAAGGAGCTGGTCCTCCGTGTAAATGTCAAGGGCATCAGTGCCCAGGAGTCCCCCAGGCTGTGAGGCCACGTGATGTCCACATTCCCTGATGATCACAGATGAGGAAGCCGCCCGTTCCCCCCAGCTCTGGATGGTTTCCACTGTTCTCCGGCGGTGTTCAGTCCCACTCAGTAACATACAGGAGAAATGAAAAACTGGAAGTGGCAGGATTCCAACGGCTCCATCTAACGGTTACCTGAATTTACTGGTTTATGTGTGTAATTTCTAATGTTGTTATGTAATTTTAAATTTCTGGTGTCTTAAAGAGCCATCACTGAATACCACCTATAAAACGAGAATAAATTATTGTTAATGCCCATTAGAGAGGGTGGTTATGAGATTACAATAAGTAATCTATTGTAATAGCACTAATATGCTAGTGTATAGAAGCACTAATGTGCTTCTATAAGTAATAGAAGTTCTCTCTATTGATAAAATAATTAAAATGCAATCTGTGTACTTTCCACTGATCTGGTGGCTTCCTGGCTCTGGCAACCTGGCCTTGCACCTGACAGAGGAGATGCTCCCTGGTTACAGGCTGAGTCACCTATAAACAAGTATAGAGCATCCTCAAGTTTCATAGTCATGCTACATGTTTTGGAAACATCACCAGATCCTTTCTAAAGAGAACAAAAAGGGAAAAATCCAGATTTTGGGGGGAGGGAGGTGGTGAGAATAAGACAGCAAATCTCAAAAGCATTTTCTGGTTTAAACTTTCAAATCAATTTTGAGTAAATTCCAAGAGAAATCAGAAAACAGACTGCTTAAGATTGTCTCAGACTTTTGCAGTTTATAGGAAAGACAGGATGAGGGCAGGTGCAGGGCCCCCATCCTGGGTCCCCTACCTGGTCTTCCGGGAACATCCCACCAAGCTTTCTGGACAGGAGAGCTCAGAAGTGGTGTCCCCACTGAGAGAGTGTGTGGTGTCACTCAGCAGCTCCTAGGCTTTCAGAAAGATTTTTGAGTTCACATCATTAAAGGTAAAAATGACAGCTGTTTTTATTTCTACTTTAATAAAGAAAAAGTATGTAAACAGTTTCCTACTAAGATTGAATGATGTTAGATCTTGGAGCACGTACTGTGTCAGCATGTGTGTGAGAGGTGGACAGAGATCGGGAAGGAAAGCACCCAACACAAACGTCCAGGGACTCAGCGTGGGAAAGCAGGATTTCCATGTCTTTATATTTTGTGCCATGTACATGTTTTAACACATATCTATTTCCAAAGGCAAACACACTAGAAGACTAATGTGCTTTCAAGTGGGCAGGTTTTGTGTTAAACATTTAAAGCACATTAAATAGCATAGCAAGAGAGTGCCCTGAGTGGATGGCTGGCAGGCGAGCACCCCAACTGGGTGGCCGGCAGGAGAATGCCCTAACTCACCCAGCTGTTAGTAAGGGCCACAGAGGTTGGGTCTGAGCTGAGTCTTAAGAAGCTGTGGAATTCAGATAAACAAGGAAAAGGGCAATGAAGAGAAAGAGCTGCTTCTTTTCTAATTTATCAATACAAATATTGATACATTTCCATTCACATGCTTCCGACATGGTTTCCAGCAGGTCTCAGAGTGGACACATTTCCTTCAGAAAGACACGGTTCCATCTTAAAAGTCTGAACATCATTTCTGAGTCTCTGGTAAAGGCACATTCTCTTCCCTGAGTCAGTCATGACGGTGGAGACAGTGAGAATCGTGGCCTACTTAGTGTGAGGAGGGCACCTACCTGGGCTGGGAGCATATCGGACCTGGGAGCTCAGGAGTCGGGTGCAGAGGGAGCTTCCCCAGGGGAACAGACATGGTTATTGACAGGAACCGTGAAAGGGAGGATGGCAACAAAGGCAGCAGATGACGTCCAGTGTGGCTGCTGACAGACGTGCGGTGAACACGGTGGGATGAGCGAGGAAAGAGGTGTGAATCCCAGATAGGACTTAAGGGCCTGCTGTCCTACCACATATCAATAACAAGCTAGAAAAATGCATCTGTCGTAACACATGGATCAGAATGTGACATTTACTAAACACGCCAATCACAGCCCTGTCAGGATGGCGAAACCTAAAAGCTGTCCTAGTGTCCACCACAAAGGCAAAGCCTGCAAAACGATAAATTCACATGGAATTCTAAACGATCAGTACAATTTTATCTCTGAAAAACATTTAATGATGTGGTAAAATGCTAATATTGCAGGCTGATGTATTTTGAAAGGATATAAAGCCATAATATGGATAAAGTGTATTTATAGCAATGAGTAAGCCATTGAGGGAGGATGAATCTGAATAGTGTGTTTAGCAATTTTTTTCCCTCTGTATTTAGATTCTCCAAACATAAGCAGCACTGTCATGAGTGGGAGGGTGAAAAATGGTGGGCACGTGCTTATTTATTACCTGGTAATAAAATGGTGCTGGACACCTATGTGGGGCCATGACACAGAATGCCGGCCACAAGGGGGAGCCGGGGGCTGGAGAGCAGGAGAGAGGAGGAGGTGCAGGGCGAGGGACTCGGGGACACCCTACTGAGTTCAGGGTGACACTTCATTTCAGATGCCATCAGCATCGCTGGACTCCACCCTCCACTCGGGAGGAAGGTACTGGAGTCTTTGGTTTTTTAGCCCTGAAATACACATTTTAAGCTATCTCTGGATAATTCTAGATATGACTCCTTGGGCTTGAATGTTGTACTAGATGAAAAATAAACTTTGAGTGAGCATTCTAGTCGCCCTCTCACTTTTAAAGTATACCCCTCCCTTTCTTTCCTTTCCCATTTTCCTTCCTTCCCTCCCTCCTGTAGGGGATAAGATCCTTTTGCTCAAGACATGGCAGTTCGCCTCAACGTGCTCTCTCAGGAATACTGTTTCCGAGAAGCGTGTCCTTGAGGATCTGAGCCTCTGCACTTGCCTATTGATGTGCAAGAATGTGTAGAGTGACTCTCCCTAGGGGACGTGGAGAAATAGCCGAGATGAGCTGGAGGATGGAAAGACCAGTTTTGGAGCATTGGGTTCTATTCTCTGCATTCCTCCTTCATTAGCATTATAAGGTGTAACTTTACCTTGGGCAATCGAGGACCGACAGCCAGGCTCCAAAATGTTTTACTCTAAACAAAATCAATTGTATATGCGTTCCTCAGCCTTCACACTAAATTGTAATCTCAAATGGTTGCTTCTTCACATTACTTGACTTCTTTGTAAATGTGTTAAATTCTTACTAAATGTTGGAAAGTATAAAAGATAGTCAGTAAAGTTTAGCGGGGCCGCCGACCAGAGCGAGTCCCAGTCTCCCTTGAAGATTCATTCCGTTTGCAGTTCTTTCCCCTGCGTCACTGGATCAGAAGCTCCAGGAACCCACACGACACCCACCCTTCCTTCCTTCCTTCCTTCCTTCCTTCCTTCCTTCCTTCCTTCCCTCTCTCCCTCCCTCCTTCCTTCCTTCCCTCCCTCCCGGAAACAGAAGCACATTCTGCTATTTTGCTACAG